AACTAGATTCACTTTCTGATCGAACGAGGTACTGAAGTCAAAAATCGAAGCATTTTTACAGCCCCAAAACGTGATGACAGACACAAAAAAAAAAAAAAAAACACACATCATGGTAAAATCAATACATTCATCGCTCCGCTCAGAATCTAAAAATGACTGTCACTGTGCTGATACCTTTTGGTTATAAATAATAAGCCGTATAAATAAATTATAAATAGGTGAGTAGGTATAGTTTTAAACGTATTTAATACTTATGAACTATTATTTATAACCAAAAGGTATCGGCACAGTGGCAGTCATTTCTTTGGCTGTAACACGATTGCGCTCCATGAAATATWRGTCTACACTATTTAAAATACAGTCGAAATGGTAAACTTAAAATTATAATTTGTAACTTTATTGAGTTTTTTTTAATGTATATTTGGACGAATGATATTAGTATATAAAAAAAAAAATTAAATGGTTTTCGTAATTTTATTGAGTTTCTTTTATATAATACCTAAATGTATTGTGTCTTAATTTTTAATCGTGTAATTGTATTAAAGTATTAATAGTGATACTAATGTGTACGTATGTATTTTATTATATAAATGTAAATTAAACTTTTAACTTCAACAATGAGTTTTTGAACAATGTATACCTATATTTCATGGAGCGCAATCGTGTTGCGTTTTTTTAATATAAAAAAGTAGGACGGGCGCAATCGTGTTTCGCCGATTTATATATTTATATTTTGTTGAAGTATTGTATTTTTTTTTTTTATGAAGTATAAATTAGAATCTATAACATTTCCATTGGTTATAAAATTATTTTTTAAATCTAGTAATGTAGTAGGTATAGCTATTGTTTTATATACCTACCTAAAACTATAGATGCCTACAGCTACGCAAAACTACAATAATATTATGGCATACTATTATAGAATACGCTCTATTGCTATGTATAAAGATTTTAGATTCTCAGCGGGTTTATGAATTTATAGATTTATGTTTTTTTAGTCTATAAATACTTTTAAAAATTATAATTATATGTGTAGGTGTCTAAAATATGCGTGTATTTTATATTTGTAGAACCTTAAAAATGCCGAGAAAAATGAAAGTCCCGTTTGTTGAAATTGTTGAGGCCATAAAAAAGTATGAGGAGACAATTTTCCAGGGACCTAACATAGTCGGTCCTACACATCCAATCTGGAGTGAAGTTCAAAACAATTCGAATGGAGAAATATCCGCTAAATCTCTATACACAATAGTGAAATGTGACAGAAATGATATTTTAAGCAAATTAAATATTAATAACCCACGTGGACCTAGTTCAGAAGAAGTAGACGGTGATAATATTACAGACAATGAATGTTCTCACAGCGAAAACATTGAAAATATAGAATTTAAGATAACTTTGAGTAAAGAAGAGTGGAATTCATTGGAATGTGAAAAAAAAGTATTACGAACAAAACTCTCAATACTTAACGCGATTCTACAAAGTACTAAGTCCTGGTAGTTGGACTGACATAGTTCACAGTCATTTTTGGGAACAGACGAAAATTGCTTGTCCAGTTACCTACAAAAGAGCAAAGATTTATGAATCTGGGATAAATTATTGTGAATTTTACGGAAAATGCAAATCATGCCATAGTAAACTTAAAGGTATACTCCAGGAAAAACCTTCAAATAATAGTAGAGCGATTTTTCATTGTACCTATAGTGGCAATTTTCGACAATGCGTTGATAAAACAAAACGTAAAACAACGTTTGAAAAAAAACAATATTATGTCGAAAAATTAGTAAATGAAAAGATGTCTGCAAGTATGTTAAGGAAGACTGAAGCTAATGATTTGATGGATTTTGATGATCTAGAACCAAGTAATTTGCCAACAGCAAACTCACTAAGAATAATAAAATGTAGAGCTCTAAAAGATCAAAGAGAAGAGGACGACCCAATATTATCAATTTGCAAAATGAAATATTTGCATCCATATATTAACGTAATTAAAGATATTGGATATGACAGATTTTATGTCCACTATTGGAGTGCTTCTGAAATGAATGTTTACAGAAAATATGTACAGCATAATAACATTTCAACATTATGCATAGATGCAACTGGTAGTTTAGTTAAAAAACCAACTTTAATATCCAAGAAGAAAA